CCCGCGCCAATCAGCTGCGCGCTCCCCTTCCCTGAGTTCCCCGACTCAGACCCCGCCCCACACCCATCAGCGGCGCGCTCCGCTTCCCTGCCGCCCCGCCCCGCGCCAATCAGCCGTCTCGCCTTCCCTGCAGCCCCGCCCCTGGCCCCGCCCCGCGCCAATCAGCTGCGCGACCAGCCCGGCGTCCCCTTCCCCGCAGCCCCGCCCCGAGCCAATCAGCGGCGCGCCCGGCCCGGTCTCCAGTTCCCTCAGACCGTCCCGTCCAGGGTCCTGCAGGCCGGCCATGGCGGCGCCGGCGCGGCCGCTGTCGCGCTTCTGGGAGTGGGGCCGCAGCATCGTGTGCGTGGGGCGCAACTACGCGGAGCACGCGCGGGAGATGGGGGAGACGCCGCCCTGCCGCCCGCTGCTCTTCCTGAAGCCCGCCTCCGCCTACGTGCGGCCGGGCAGCCCGGTGCAGCGGCCGTACTACTGCCGGCGGCTGCACCCCGAGCCCGAGCTGGCCGTGGTGCTGGGCCGGCGCACGCGGGGCGTCTCCCGCGACGACGCCATGCAGTACGTGGCCGGCTACGCGCTGTGCCTGGACATGACGGCGCGCGACGCGCAGGACACCTGCAAGGCCCGCGGGCTGCCCTGGACGCTGGCCAAGAGCTTCGACACGTCGTGCCCCGTGAGCGACTTCGTGCCAAAGGAGCACGTGGCCGACCCGCACCGCCTGCGCCTCTGGCTGAAGGTCAACGGGCAGCTGCGGCAGGAGGGGGACACGGCGGACATGCTCTTCTCCGTGCCCGAGCTCATCAGCTACATCAGCGAGATCATCACGCTGCACGAAGGGGATGTCATCCTCACCGGCACCCCGCCCGGCGTGGCGGCCGTGGAGGAGCATGATGAGCTGGAAGCCGGCATCCACGGGCTGCTCAGCATGCGCTTCACGGTGGTGCAACAAAGGCTGGGGGCGTGAGAGGGGCCTCGGGCACCGGGAGCTGCCTCCGTCCTTGCGTTTCTCATGCACCATGCTGAGTCTGAAAGTTGGCTCTTGATTCCCAGGGAATAAAGAACCAACTTGGCTCCTTGGGAAGGAAGACCCAACTTTGCAATGAAAAACTAACTTTGCTTTTTGGGAATAAAGAGCCAGCTTTGCAATGAAGAATCAGCTTTGCTCCTTGGGAAGGAAGAACCAGCTTTGCAATGAAAAACCAACTTGGCTCCTTGGGAAGGAAGAACGAAGTTTGTAATGTAGAACCAAGTTGGCTTCTTGGGGATAAAGAACTAGCTTTGCAACGAAGAACCAACTTGGCTTCTAGGGATTGATGCTTTTGGATCTGGTGAAGGTTGGGGGGTTGGTGTTGCATCGGCTCTAAATGGGCATCAAGTTTGGACTGTTAATAAAGCTAAAAAAGAAAAGAGGACTGGAGTGTTTCACTGGCCTAAAAAAAAAAAAAAAAGACTGGAATGTGTTGCTGGCCTGTGTACGGGGTGGAGCTTGGGAGGGGAGCTGCCCCTGCAAGTGCTGGCAGCTGGGTTCAATGTTTAGCACAAGGTCAGGCTGTTGTCGTCACCCAAAGCTCATGGGGACAGCAAATGTTCGGGTTAATGGTTAAAAGGTGAAGAGGGGGAGGCTGCAGCACGTGCCTGGGTGACAGGGATTAAACACTGCATCATACCATGGACCTGCTGCGGTGCCAGAGCTGGAGGCCTGCAGGTCTCTCTTGCTCTCTGGTGCAGTATCAGAGCTCAACTTCCAAATCTAGGAGCTCCTGTCTGGTGTCATCGCTGGGTGTGTGGGTTGCACCTGCTGGGTCTGGGCATTTTGGGAAGAGGACAGCTTTCTTTTCGGTGCTGTGTCGGGCACCACATGTTCATCTTGGAAAGGCCTGTTGTGTTTGAGTGAGACAATTACCTCCAAAGGCCAGCATTTACACACTTAAGCAATCAGCATCACCCTTAGGTTGTTTAACCCCCTCCCCCTCTCCATTAGGCAGGGCCACAAAGTGACTCTGGTTTCCCCCTGTGCAGATCCCAGCCTGCACTGGCTGCCACTGCAGCACGCTCCCTGCAGGTACATGCTTTAAAGCCATCATTTCCAATGATGGTAGCATGAAGCAGCAAGGAGGCAAAATAAAAATGAACTGTGAAGACTCCCAAAGGGAACTCACCAGTCTGTGTCCCAGGAGATCAGAATGACCCATCAGAGAAAATGTGTGATCTCCAGAGGTGGCTATTAACTGCAGCGCTGCTTCACCCTGCTGGTGCTTCACTGAATAGGGGTACATCCCCAATTCAAAGAGAAGTAGTGTATCCGTAATGCATTTAGGAAGGAAAAAGCATTAGGAACACTAACGTGGGGATTTAACACTGTTGTAAGATGCTTTTATTTGTGAGAGTAAAATTAGTACACGAGGAAGCTTGTTCACGACTGATTTAACCACCTGACTAATCCTGCTGGGGTCTGTTTGAGGGACCAGGCTCTGGCTACGGAGTGAAATGGAGCATAAAAAGGCATCAAATGCATAACTAGGGGGAAAAAATTAAGAAATTCTACTTCTGCTTCAGTTTAGGCCGCAATCTTGGACACTTAAGCGTACTCGTGACCACAAACATGCCTGCAGGCCTACTGAGGACACACACCTGCTTATAGTGAAGTGCACACTTGGCTGTTTGCAGGGTCAGAGTCCTTGTTGTGTTGCTATAATACCAGTAGCTACAATGTGTTTGGACAGAAATGTAGGGGTTTTTCCCCCTTGTTGTCCCTCCTGTCTCCCACTTCCAGACTTTTAATACTGCAACCGGTTTCTCTGGTGTGAAATGAGGGCCGGAATTAATCTACCAAAATATCCTACCCGTCAGAAAGTATCCCTGGCACTCTTGTATGTGAAAGGTCACGGCTCTGCAGAAGCTAAGCCTGCTACAGGAGCCAAAACTTGCACAAACAGCTTTTGACTGACCTCTGTTCATGATGAGAGAGTTTTTTAGCTTGAATTGGGTTTGTCAACTTGTCTCTAGCCAGTTGCCTAATCATGTGGCCCTGGCCTTGTTCCCTGGTGCTTCACTGCATCAAAATACAACCAAACAAGTACATTCTTCCCTGTAAACAGTTGCTGTAGCTGCAAGAGCGGTGTTACAAGTTCACCAAAGGTACAATTGTGGTCAGAGCACTTGCAAATGGAAGGTAACTGTCCATGCACAGGTTTTCCTTTAAAAAAACAACCAGAACTTTTCAGCCTACCATAATGTAAACCCTTCGCCGCCCCCCTCAAATATAACTGCACTAAACATGCAACTAGAAGGGAAGACCTATATGACTGCATGTAGGCTAGGCGCTGGTCACCACCCTGTAAAACTTTTAGAATTAATCTAGAAAATTCAGGTTGGAAGAGACCTCAGGAGGTCACATCTGGTCCAACCGCCTGCTCCAAGCAGGACCAGCCCCAACTACATCATCCCAGCCAAGGCTTTGTCTAGCAGAGATGGAGAGTCCACAACTTCTCTGGGTAACCTGTTCCAGTGCTTTACTGCCCTCCTCATGAGAAAGCTTTTCCTGATATCTAACCTAAAACATCCCTTGCTGCAACTTGAGCCCAACTTAAGGAACTCTAAGAGCAGAGTATTCCAACTGGTTTGCAGTGCACATTGCAGCCCTTGCCTTGTTCTTCCCTGCCCATTGCAGGAAGCGTCGTTAATCATACGCTTTGGATGCTATAGCCATAGCTTGCAGGGACCCATCTGTATTACAGACAGAATTTTATTGAATGTGTGGTTACAACAGTTATTCTCAAATACAGGTAGTGTAATAGCTGCATTTGAAATGAACAGCTAATTTTATTGGCTTTGGACTGTGGCCCTCAGATTGTTGCACAATTACTGATTTGTATTATACCTCCACACCAGGACATGTGAGAGAATCAGGAAGGGATCGTTTTGAAGCAGTGTTGCTGCCCCATATGACAACTGAACTGGCGAGTCCACAGGACTCCATTGGGAAAGAGAAATACCATAGAAGAGTACCTACTTTTCTCCCTCAAAAAGAGGGATAATCCTTTTTGGCCAGGGAACACAGAAGTTTGGTAGACCAGCAGTCATGGAGGATGATTCTTGGCTAGATACAGTTTGGTTTTTACCAAGCCATCATCTATTCTAAAGGACTTCCATGCTATATAAGGCCACAGAAAATATCCACTTCAGTGAATCAAGAATTCAACTTCAGAAAGAATCTCTCCCCTTGGAATACTTTGCAATAAAAACATGTTTGCTGCTTAGATTAAATAACTTTTTTTATTCTACTGTGCATTTTTAAAATGTACTACAAATTGGATGAAAAATTACTTTCCTCCAATATGCCAGACAGATTTTTTGCTAAACTGAGTCTTAAATAAGCTTTATAAGTATAATAATATAAAACAGAAGGATCAGAAAGATAGAAGTCCAGTTGTAAAGATCCATAGTAAACTTATTTCCCTTTTACAAATAAAAGAATATAATTACTGACCAAACATTCTTTATACAATAATGGAGAGCAACAGTCACAGTTTTTAAATCTTTCCAGCTGTTAAAAAGACATACAGTGTATTTTTTTTCCTTTGCCAGATAAGTTCTGACTGGCTTCTACAGGATCTGCCAGTTTGCATGAAAGTAAATTCACCCTCAATCCAGTTCTTGAACTGGGTGATAAGAAACCCTGTAAAAACAATTAAATTATGTAAAGTATTTCAAAACTTGCTATTTTCAACATTACACAGAGTCTCACACTACATTAACTGAAGTATCTTGCTTATTTTTATTACGTATGCATGAACACCAGAGTCAAATGCTCAAACTATATGGGAACCCAGAGACTCTGAGGTAAGGGGAGATTTGAATTTTTTTTGTTTATATACAGAATAATAATTAAAGAAGAATTGGAAGCCAGCAAGCAAATCTGTGAAACAGAACTGAATGGGTAGTGAACTGCATGATAAAAATTAAAAAATTGGGAAGTACTGTATAAAAACAGCACATATTTTAACAATGGCCTTCTTCAGTGGTTTGTATCTACTATAGTTACTGATCCCATGCTAGGAGATTCTGAGTATCATGTATTTTCTCTGAACAAACTGTTTGGGTGACTAATTACAAAAGGTAATATAAAAGGTCCTGATCCTGCATCTTGCAAGTTTTATTTTAGTCACAACAGTCCTGTTTAAGTCAGTAGCTTGAAGTTAAGCCCAAATACAGTTTTTGCCAGATGAGGGCTTTATAATGAGTAGTGGCAAGATGCTGTAGACCTCATTCAGGTTCCCTCTCGGGAAAGCCACAGAAATTGCCACCCTGGTGTTAAATTCTGATAAGGACAAGTACTTTTTTGAAATAATTAAATGTATGTGTGTATAAATTCACACGCTTTGATATTTGTCAACAGGACCAGTAGTTAGAAAGTTTTGACAGCTGTTGTTTTACAGCTGATAAAAGCTTAAAAGGAATGGGTTTCCCTAATACAGAAATAAAGTTGTTTCCAGTTAAGTGTGGTCATGACATATATGTATACTAACCTTAAAATAAATTTTGCTCCGTTCCAAAAGAAGGTGCCACTTTAATGCTGTCTTCTGCCCCTCCGTAAGGGTGAGAAACTCTTGGACCTATTGATACGATCAAATAACATGTTTCTGGAACACAGCAGACTGAAGGTGATCAAAATCAAAAGAAACATTAAAACACAATTTGCCTTTTAAAATATTAATTTTAAAGCTAGGGAATATATGCTTTAATTAAAGCAAGGCCTTAAGAGGATGGGCACCATTTTAAAGTATCTTAAATATAAAATTATTCTTATTTCTGGTCATTTGTTGGCTTCTCTGACAAGGATAGCAACTATATAAGAATGTTCAAACTTAATAGAGCAATGACTGTAATTTCAGGTTGTTTCATACAACTAGAAAGCTCAGATCAACTGTAGGAATCAGATTTCTGCTGTTATTTACCGTGCAACTTAATGTTTCTTCAGCTATACTGTCCGAGAGGTTGCAGGAATAAAGAGTGCCTGTGTGATCTGTAAGATCAACCAGTACATCAAAACTAGTAAAGACAGAGTTAGTGTCCGAGGGACCGTCACTGCAAAAAGTACATATGTTTGACATTTCATTCACCAAGTAGCGGCACCTTGAGCTGCAAAAAACAAGAAAAGAAAGAATTAAAACATGTCAGTAGTCACTGAATGTTCTTACATCCCCTGCCCCCTCCTCAAATAAGGCAAACACATTGTTCTGGGAAGGCAGAATAAAGGGCAGGGGGTGGGATTTGTCCAGAGTCTTCCCAGCCGCAGCATGGGGACACCGGGCTTTTGTACCTTACGCGCCGCCTAGATGTGTGTGTCACAAAATGGCAGCAAAAATCATTGTTTTGCTAGCTTAGTCACATCTGAAAATACACGTTGACCTTTTTTATCATGGTAGATTTCGAATTATTGTGGTAAATTAAACTACCTCTGACACGTTTTATTTTTAGCCTGGCAAATTGTGCCAACAGGATTATTTGTATCATGATGGCTTTGAAACGTGCAATCCCAGGCACCATGGCTGAATTGCTCCAAGTTGCAGGGAGGTGGGCCAGAGTCCAAGCTGCTGCCAACTCAGCAGTGGCTGTAATAGGGTTAAGCCTTTAGCTTTGGGCTGCAAGGAGAGGGTGAGTGACCTTGAGAAATGGACTCTGCCCCTCATGCATGCAGCTAAGAAGGGGGCACAACCCCAGGCATCCATTCTAGTATCCCCATGCCTCCATTCCAGTGTGGGAATCAGTTTCCTTACTTAAAATACACACTCCAAGTTTGGATGGCTAATTCGGGGAGGAAAGGGTGCAAGTGGAATATGAGTAAATACAGCATTTTTTTCAGTCTGAAATTGTTCTCTGGGCCATCTAACCTTCCTCCAAACCCATAACTCCAAGAAACTCCCTCCCAGCCACAGTTCTTTATTTTCTATAATCAACATCTAGCACAGACAAACCAGCCCTTGCTCTGAAATCCTTCCCCCAAGACAAGAGACAGCAGGTTCTATTGTTTTCCAATTCTGATGCTCGAGGGACCTCTCCAGTCTATGCAGCACAGTTTCATTTTACTTACCCAAAACTAGGTTAAGCACTGGTTCACCTCCATTATATGGAATTAAAGAAAGAACAGTAAAGATTCTCAGTATAAATATAAAACAAACTGTTGCTTACCATCTGTTTCGTATAATTTTAGATGCATTGTTATCAATATTCAAGGTAGAAAGGTAAGCATAAATAATGCCGTAGATGGGTTCAGGTTTTTCCTGATTCTGCACAGCTTTTATCTTCACTTGTTCCACAGTATAAATGTCAACTATAGACTGCACTAAAGATTAGAAGAGAAATGTTAAGCATATCCAAAAATACTAAGGACCAAAAAAGGGTTAGACCCAAAAGGAAGAAAGGGCTTGACCTAAGCCCATCAAAAGCAACAGAAAGATTCTCAGTTCCCTAAACAGGCTTTGAATCAGGCCCATAATTAATATTAAAAACACAAAATTTCAATCAGAAAAATCATCTTCAAATTTAAGATCTGCAATTCAGAGAGGGTAAGTTTTACTTTAAATCGTTTAAAATACAGTACCTGTTCTGCTTTAATTTACAACATGTTTTCTTTTCTAAATAAATACATCACAGATGGTGTTTATATACTAATCTTTTTCTAATTTATTCAAGTCAGTGCATTTCCAAGAGTGGCACGTTCAACTGTTTGCAGTTAGGCACATTCAAGGTACATAACTTTGTCCAGTAATTTGTAGAACAGCCCAATAACATATCAATCTGATGTCAGTGAGACTTTCTCCTCCGACACACTCTGATTCAGTCTCCAAAAGCAAATGTAGCCCTACAGAACAGAATATAAAAGCAATTTCTATTCTGAAATACTTACAATTAATAGATTCTTTTGATTGATCCTCTATTTCAGCATCCAACAGCCCCAATTCTGCAGTCTCCTTCACAAAGCTGAACAAGTTATTTGCTTCTGGCGTGTCTTGAAAAATATGTAAAAAAACCCCAATAAATATATGTAAGGTGTTAGAATGGCCACTTGTTTAAATTCTGAAATTACTTTTATTATGCTAGCATCAGTGTTACAGTTCGCAAAGAGATGCTTCTTTTTTCTTCTCTCTGCTAACCATCTAGGGAGTGAATGAAGGACATTTAAAGAGACCAAGATAAGAACCATGGAAACCAGAAAATCTTGGTCACTAAGCACATGACTGTCCCTTGCCTGCAGAAGGGAAAAGACCCACTAAAACCTCAGCCAAATGCTACTGAATCAGTGCCAGAATTCAAAGATAAAAGCTTAATGGTATCTGGAGGACATCTTAGAGCAGGGTGTCAAAGTAAATAATAACAAATCTAACTCTTTCCCCTAAGACTCACAAAACTGAGGTTCCTCTGAGGAAAACATCACAACCAGCTCCTTTGCTGTACTGCTGCTCATTCTCCAGTCATAATCATGCCTATTTAGGCATCTTGTGTGATGGTGAAGGCAAAAGATTTAGTTAGGCTAGGTCAATCAAACATCCACATAGTTTAGGATGCTTTCCAAAGGTCTGTATAAGCTGTTGTCCGACTGTTCACTCTCCACACCCCAATATCTAGATCCTCAACAGTGGTTGCATAAAATGGTCCCACAAACTCAGAGGGTCTGGGTCTGCTACAGACCAGACATCCTGCACAAAGCTCCCTTCTTAGCTTCCCTCTTGACCTATTTGTTACGATATTTGAATATCTGGGCCTCAGAAGAGACACTGCTATTAATTTTACAAAACACAGGCAATACCACACTTACACAAGAGACAAAAACTATAGAAAATGCTCCTCACTGGTAAAGATGACTTACAATGTAGGCAGCTAGTGTTAGATCAGGCTGTTCTTTTTTAAGTGAAAATTTATTTTTCTCATGTCTCCACATGCAGACAAGCTGCGTGTATGCCAAGCCCAATTCTGCACTCAAATGTTCATACTCACCATTCAGCAAAATCCATAAAAGATGCATGTGTAAATTTGAGGGCTGAACTCAGCCCAAGAATTCATTAATCAAAACAAATGTATATTAGGTTTGCAGTTTGAACCCAACTGAGAAAGAAAACAACAACTTCGTTCCACAATACTTAATGGATGACACCTATGTATAAACAACCGATTTGACATTTCTATTAAACACTGCAATGATAGATGTTATAGAAAAAGCATAAACAGGCTAGATAAAAATTAGCTGCTGTAGGTAGAGACATCCTTTAAATAAAATTACCAAATCTGACGCATGCATTAAATCTGAAACAAGATAGTTCACATTTTCAACTGAAATATTCATGCACTGTAGTCCACAATAGCTGTCCTACTCCAACACGCATCCTCCAGGCCACCGGCCACACTCACACCTCCATGCTGTGCTGCGAGGGACCTCCTACCGCACTGTATGATAGGCACCCCCCTTCCACATTGCTGTGCTGTGCTGGCACCCTTTTGCTATACCACATGGGCCCCTCCCACTCCCCAGCTGCAGGCTCCCTCAGACCCTTGGGCTGGGCCACCCCTCCTAGGGCAGAGGGAGGAAATGGAAATTGGAGGAATAAGGGGGGACCCAGAGACCCCAACAAAGTGATGAGGAAAGCAATGCCCAGACCAGGAGCTCAGCAGCTATAGGTAACCCCTTAGGGACCACATGCAGCCTATGGCCCACCAGCTAGACACAACCCTGGTCTACGACATATGATTTTTAATAGAGAAGATGTATTAACAGTCCCTTACCTGGATTAGTTGTAATAATTGTTTTGGAGATTACAGTCGCTGTCATGCAGTTCCTAAATTTGTCAAAGTTTATTCTCACATCTGATGCAAATATGACTGGGCACAAAAACATGGTTCTTTGTTATTTCAGCATCCAGGTAAAGATAA